GAGGGTCCTTTGCATGGTGAAACTGTTGCTCCTTGCAGCCTTAGTCCCCAGAATCCACAGAGCCATCTCCACCTGAGGATATGTGTCTGTGGCAACAGGTTCCACTCCTCAGCTGGTGTCACTATGTGTGCAGCTGGAGATATCCCACATCTCTCTCACTACACACCTTCGCAATACAGAGCCAAGTGCTGGCACAGAACTGTCACTGGAGGCAAGGCCAGAAGCTTCATTCCCCCGAAAAAGTCCTAGAGCAGTGCTGTGTGTCAACCCAGCTCACCTACACCCCAGTTTTATAGGAGGAACAAACAAGCTTCAGGGCCAAGCAAAATGGTCTGTTTGGTGCGCATACAGGATATTGTGTGAGTATTAGGGATGGGCACAAATTGGATCATGAACTGAAGCTTGTTACAATTTTTGCCCGGTTCATGGTTCACAAAGTGATGTTTGCAAAATGAAGAACTGCCACAAACCTCCATGAATTTTGATGCTATTCGTGGTGGTTCATAAAAGGCAGAAAGCAGGGGTTTAGATGACTCTGAGCCATCCAAATACTAACCACAGCTGACCCTACTTAACTTCCAAGGTCTGATGCTATCAGGCTCACCTGGGCTATCCAGGGCAGGGCAGGCTTGGGATTGCCCACCTGTTATCTAATATCCCTGGTGCATGAGTCTATATACACACTTTTCCTAAGTGTGCATAGGATTGTGTCCACAGTTGTATTGAAGAAGATTGTTACTTATGATGAAACTAGATTTAAGGTGCATGTATGGGCAGTGTTCCCTCTAAGCTGAGTTAGTGTGAGCTAGCTCACAGTTTTTTAGCTTCTGGCTCACACATTTTTGTCTTAGCTCAGGAAGGAGGGCTCCAGAGCAAACTAATTTATACAGTAGCCAAATTGCTCACTCATGACTTTAATGCCAGTAGCTCACAAAGTAGAATTTTTGCTCACAAGACTTCACATCTTAGAGGGCACATTGCCTATGGCAAAAGACCATTGTCAACCTGGTGTTTTTTGTTGCTACAGTAGACGTGAACTGAGTATGAACATTTATCTCCTCTAGGTGTATGATATCAGAGCCAAGCAGTTTAAGTTCCTTCCCGTCAGAATCAGAAATAACACCAGCCAAGGGTGAATGCTTTCTGTTTTGCATTGCTGTGTTTACCATCATGGTGTGCGGGTGCAATCTGACATCCTCTTGACATTTGCTTGGGGACAACAAGCAGAGGTTATCGCTTGCCATATCCTTAAAAGTTTCAACATCTGTCCTTGGCAATGGCCACAAATCAGGTTTTAGATTCCGCTCCCTCCCCTTCTTGTTTAATTTAATCAGCAGTTACACATCTGTTTCTGTTTGCTTTAACCAAATATGATCTACAACACAACAGATATGAAGTGATATTAAACGCAAACCGCCCCTGTATGTCTTTCAAGATTGTCTAATAAAAAGTGAAGACGAGGAAAAACACAAGCTGTGGCAACAATCAGACATTGGGTTTACACCTTGAAGTTATTAGAAGTGTAAGTTGCCCATCTTAAAAGCCTTCTACACAGTGCTGAACAGCAATTACCCAACTGGGATTTTTTCAAAAAAGCAGATGACTTTAAGAGTAGTATGAAAGTGGGGGTTTTGCTTTACAATTCCCGTTTGCTTATTCTGGGAGCTGGCAAGTTAAACCAACTGCCATTGACTCCATTATTTTGTGTGTGGATCCCATGTTTCCCCTTGGCATTGAGATGACCATGATCCGTGGTCTTGATCTCATGGGCTGCAGCCCTGCCTTGTAGAGCCTTTAGGATGGTGTTCTTGGCTGCTTTTTGGAAGGAGACACTGTTAGTGCATGGGTGTAGAGAGCAAGGGCTTCATGCCACATGCCTTCCTTGCATATACACCAAGAGGAGCAACAGGATGCCAAGTGTCAGCTCGCTGCCATAGCAGCTGGTGGGGGGGGGGAGGCTGTTTGGAATGTACAGTTTCATTTCTCTAGCTGTCTGGGTGATGCTCTCTTATCTATATATTTTATGTGCCTGACCTTGAGTGCCTAGCAGTAATGCCATCTCTGGGAATGCAGGACCATTACATTCTGGGGGGCCCTTTCTATTGCCTTGATTGGCTCTATGCCACCCAGTGACCCCTTTGAACATTGTATATCGATTCACCCCGCACTTTTTGCTTTAGTCTTAACACAGAACCTGAAGGAGAGATGCTCTGCCAATACTGTATCGATAAACTTTCCTTCTGAAGAAGCGAGTTGTTGGTTCTGATTGTTGTAGGAGTCTGACACCAAGGTTAGTTAGCAATGGAGAGAATTACTTTGCTTGTTCCTTACTCTGAGAACCACCTAATGCTCAGCTTTGGCCCCTTCCTAGATCCATTTCCACACCAGACCCTGATACGAAACAGATCCACAACTGCAGCAGTTCTAGCCACAGACTTTCTTGGTAGGAACCCTACTTCTCATCCTTCCTCTATAGAATGGCTTGGGGGATAGATTGCTCCAAGCAATACTGCAGCAGGGACTGAAGCCTGCATTGCGTCACACATGCCCCTGCAGCACAAAAGGACTCAGGGAACTACAGGAAAACATCCCCCACTGAACCCCAAACCACTCAGTGCTGTAGCAGGTATGCACGACAACATCCAGGGATAGTGATACAGGGAACAAAGAGACTTGCATTTTGCATACGATTCACACTTTTCTCCCTGTGCATTGCAAGACTGATCCAAATGAGGTGTACCCCAATCATGCTGGAATTCAGGACAACACACAACTCACCTCTGACTGCTACATAGGAGAGGGATCCCAGTCTCGATTTATGTAATCCGTAATGTGTGTGTGTCAGCCCAGAGGTAATGAGGGTTCGCCATGATGTCTACAGAAGGTCAGGCAGAGGTATCATCTCCCAGACTAACACCAGGGGTCATTTCCTGCAGGAGCGCACAGGAGCAGAGCTCCGGCAGTAAAGAGCCCAGGGGGCGGGAACATGCAACAAGCCCCACCCCCTGCTCCCAGCAGCCCTCAGTGAGAGCAAGAAGCAGCCAGGTAAGCTGCAGAGCCTCCCCGGTCCAAAACAGTCCAGTGGCACTTTTAAGACCAAGTTTTATTCAGGTACAAGCTCTCCCTCCTCTGCGAGGACAGATCTGCACATTCCCCCCCCCCCAATAGCTAGCAATCCAAAAGAGTCCAGTGGAGCCTAAGCGGTGGGTGTTGCCTTCTGACACACTTCCAGTGACATCAGGGGGTGTGGCATATGCAAATAAGTTATGCTAATGAGCTCCTGCACCTCTTTTTCTATGAAATGACCCCTGACTAACACTATATGTTCGGGGTGCGTGTGTGTGTGAAAAGTTTGATCCATGCTGAATCCAGCCCCCATGAAGATGACTGGCTTGACATGCAGCAGCTGAAACTTAATGTGGGCTGAGAGTTCACCACTACTCCCATGAAGTAAGATGGTGGGCACCGACTGAAGTCAAAAGGCACACACTATTCAGTGCTGAACAAACACAACTGAAATGAACTAAGGCTGCATTCTGGGAATGACTGGTGGCTTTCTCTGTGACGAAGGGAAGGACGGGGGCTTGGGGAGAGGGCTGTGGTTCAAAGGAGGGCATTGCTTTGTATGTAGATGTTCTTAGAAGTTGACAGCTCCAGTTAAAGGGTCCTCAGGCAGGAGATGTTAGGAGAGACCTTTCTGTCCCTGAAACCCAGGAAAGCTGCTCCAACCAGAGTGGACACTACTGACAGAGATGAGCAATACCCTGAGTTGGTGTAGGTTTAATGTGAGTGTTGCGTCAAGTGAAATGATGGAGACACCAGGAAGAAGTGTTTCTTTCCGTTTCTCAGAGGCTTTTACTGCTACAATAATTCAGCTCTGCTGTTAAGTCATGTAATCCAGTTACAGTTATAATAAAGCCTTCTCATAATTTTGCACACTTTAAATAGGAATATATTTATTCTTCCAGATCTCTCTCTTATAAAAAGAAGGCACTTGTTTGTTAACTGATAGGAACAACTGTAATTCAGTGCTGTAAGTTCCTTGTTTAATTTCCAGTAATAAACTGCTGCTTGTTATGAATGAAGTTCACCACAAAACACATTGATATATTAGGCCAATATTAGCTGCCACATGACTATGTCTTTATCTCTGAAAGTTAACTGCCAGATTGGCTCCATTCAGCAGCAGACATCTGACAGAGAAGTAGTTTTCTACACAAGGTGTGTTTTTTTGTCATGGGGGTGGGGGGGCACCAGGCTGCTAGGTGACAGAGAAAGAAACCTGAGGTATTATTTTCGCTGACTACCTATTCAGAACAGGAGGACAGCTTTGTTATATCCGTTTTGCTAACTTCCTCATGATCACTGGAAACAGCTAATAGAGAAAGCCTATATTCTGACAGAATATATTGTTATATTTTAAGTGTTGTTTAACAACTGTCAGAGACCACTACAGGCCAGCAACAATGGTAGCTGGACAGTAATAATATATTTGAGCCAAGACTGGAGGAGGACAGTCACTTCCAACCTTATTTCTTGAGCTACTCTGGAGCTGAAGGGGCCAGGAGCACAGACATTGTGGAGCCAGATTTCAAATGTCATGGCTGAGAGAAGAGTTCTCTTCTCTGCTGTTCAAATTCCTCCTGGCAGATGGTGCCTGATAACAGGAAACAAATGTCTAGATTGGAGATGCTGAATGGAAAAAGCCACACAATGGCTAGTTGTTCATGACCACCATATTCTTGACACCATTAAGTACAAGGTTCAAAAAAGATCACACATTCTTCAGCACACAATTCCCAACTAGGCCGTATCTCCATAATCCACATCTTTCCTCATGGCTTTTTCCAGTATTCCCAAATATTGTCTTTCTCTCTTCTGAATATACTCTCATTAAAGCAATTTTAACATTAATGAGAAAGTTCCTTCATTCTGATTCTGTAAGCAGCTTTTTAAAAATGTTGTGGAAGAAGGCATCACAGTAAAAACAATGCCATCCCTCAGTCTCTTCCTTCTGTTGCATCGTTGCCAAAAGAATTTTGGAATGATTTCTTCAGCTGGTAAAAATAAAAACAAGGAAGAGTTATCAGTTTAGAAGTTAGAGGCAAAGGAGCCAGATTCATGTAAATAAAAATGCAGCACACAAAGCAAAACCTACAAATCATGAAAAGCAAAGGGGCATTATTAATTACTTAATAGAGTCTACTGAGACCCTTTCTGAATTTTTCAGATTGTAGAAATGCTCATGTACAAATCCACAATGTTTCCTATATAGAGTTGCCAGCCCCCAGGTCCGGGTGGGGGTTCCCCCCACTTCTGGTGGCTTCAATCTGCCCCCGCCTTCACCCCCACCCCTGAGAGCAACCACCCGAGTGACCACTCGCCCAGCCACCCCTCTCCCTCCCCTCTTGCCCAATTTAAAGGGCTTCAGATGGTTGGTGGGAACCACATGCCCCCCCCCGACCTGCTGGATGGCCCTTTAAATCCAGCAGGAGGGAGGGAGGGGGAGGTTGCAGGCACAGGATCAGCTCATAAAAGGACCCTTTAAAGGGACTTTTTGTGAGCGGGGTGGGGGCTGTGGCGTGGGGGTCCCACCCCGCTTGCAAAAAGACCCTTTAAAGGGTCTTTTTATGAGTAGAGCCTGCACCCATGATCTCCCCCTCCCTCCCTCCTGCTGGATTTAAAAGGCTATCCAGCTGGTTGGCGGGCCACGTGGTCCCCACTGACCAGCTGAAGTCCTTTAAATTGGGCAAGAGGGAAGGGGGGGTGGCCTGGTGGGCAGTCACTCTTGGGGGGTGGCTTGGCGGCATCCCCACCCACACCCAGAAACTCCCCCCAATCCCCCCCCTGGATCAAGGAGGGGACCTGACAATCCTATTCCTAAAAAATGCAGTTAGTTCCCTAGATTCCAAAGTGAGCCTTCCCCACGCCAAGTTCCTCCAAATTAGAAACTGAAATTTTTATGTAAACCTTGGATCAATACAATGTATTAGTGATTCATGGCATTAAGGATGTGAAATATTCAGAGTCTGAATAAGATTTCAGGTACTTGGCTACCAAAGCAAGATGTTCCACTGCTGTAGTTCTCTTGACTCTGTGTGTATCAACCAGTGGATCCCAGGGTAGATTTGGCCTCCAAATAATTGTCACCACTATCAAATGTTAACCAAAGTATGTAAATGTACAGTTTTATATGCAATGTTTGACTTGAACTCATATGCTTAAAACCCTTACTGTGCCATCCTCTATTTAAACAGCTTCCATCCTCCCTTATGTCTGGAGAACAGGTTGGGATCTGAAATACAGACTCCATCCCTGCTCCAGGTATCAGACAAAATGCATGCTTACATTCTGCAAAAAGGCCTTGAAGTCCAGTTTTGGCTGAGGAGGACCTTTCACTTCCTTTTTACTGCTCTGCAGTTCCTTGGAGTCTACTCTAGAATCCATCTTGCTTGGAGGTAAAGGTGAGGCCTGCAGCACCTCCGTTTTTCTTAATAAGGAGGTTGAGGGGCTGGGTGGGACTGTCACACTCCTACTTGGAGGCCGGTGGTGGATATCTCTGGAACATCCAGCTCTGGACAAGAAAGGAGTGGTGGCAGCAGTGGTGGTGGCATCTGGAAGAGTGTGCTCACGCCGAGCTTCAGAAATCCCAAGTTCTGAGCACAGATTAGACTGCTCGCCCAACAGCTGGTCCAGCTGCTGTAAAGAAAAGATTTGTTGTTGTTGTTTTTAAATAATTACAACAGACCAGACAACACACGGTAACCAAGTGGAGCTCCTCTCTACATTTCAGAGAGAGCAATGGGGGGTTATACTTCTGTCAAAAGTTATTACTAATTTTTTGGCATTTATAACCTTATGAGCAAAGATTGATGGTGTGAAGAGAGCAGCTGAGCTGGAGTTTCACAAATTTCAATTTTTGTATAAAAATCTGCATTGTTGAAGGAGGAGAAACTTTTATTAAATAACTAATGCATTGCACCAACCTCCCCCCCCCGGAAAGCAAAGTGTCCCTCTGCTTTTTGTCCAGGAGTCAAACACATCTGTACAAAATAATCCAAATGCTGTGGAACCTGACTGCACTTAAGAGTGCTTGTACATGCTCTCTGGATGCCTTTCCCCCAGCACCTGTGACTAGTAGCAACTCCACCACAGCTGGAATTATATAGGCTGAAGAGGATGCTCAAGAGCTTAATCAAACTTGGACAAACCAGACCCAGGCTGTGCCGTGGACGCTGCTGGGGGAGACTTTGGGGACTTTTGCAGTAGGCCTTCCAAGCCACTGCCAGTTTTACCACAGACTTTTCACGGATTCCTAAAGAGGTATGACTTCACTTCCAGGTTTTCCCTGGCGGTGACATCACAGTTGGCTAGATCCAATCCTCTGTGTTTTATGGAAGCAGGACAAAACCACCAAGCACTGAAACATGTAAGAAAATGTTTGGTAATGTGGTATTGGTAGCTGCCTGAGCCATTGATTCAAAGCAAAAAAAGGAAAGAAAAGTGGTGCATTCTTACATTTGGGAATCATGACAGGGAATTATCTAAATATAATAATAAGTAAACACCAACCGTTGCAACTGTGTGCTTCTGTCTATTAGCTTGGCCTATTCTGGTCTTATGCATTAACAGCAAACTGTGTGCTAGTTGGTTGCTCTTCATGCATTTTAACTGCTGCCTGCCGTCCTCATTCATGAGTCCTAGCTGCTTGCTAGTATATTGTCTGACAAAAGTCTGGGCCTCTGAAGAATACTGCCCATATTTGCCCTGGCCACATATGCAGTTGGGAAAATGAATTGTACCACTAGAAACTTAGGGTGGAGGACTATCAGGAGGGGTCATGACCCCATGGCCAAGCTAGGGCTGCCATTCCCCCAGTGGGGCCAGGGGAGCCCTCGATTTCAGGGCCCCCAATCTGCTATGACTCAGCTGGCTAACAGGGAAAGCCCCACCACCGAGAAGCTCCTTCCCGGTGGCACCGGTGCGATGACATCACCCAGGAATGATGTCATCATGTTTCCAACACCGGGGACAATGCTCTAGGTGTTGGGCAAAACTCTATGGTTTTGAGGCCCAAAAAACCATAGAGTTTTGCCCAAAACCTAGAGCGTTGTCCACAGCATTGGAATCGCGATGATGTCACTTCTAGGTGACGTCGCATCAGAAGGACTACAGGAAGGATTGGGAGTCCCCCTGCCAGCAGCCAGGTAGGGCCTGGCAACCTTAGGCAGAGTGCCTGCTTTGCATGCAAAAGGTTGCAGGTTCCAACTCCAGCATCTCTAGTGAGAAGGCTGAGATAGCAGATGATGCAAAAGACCTATCCTGGAAACCCCATCTAGCTGCTGCCAGTAGACAAGGCTGCCCTTGATAGGCCAAAGGTCTGACTTAGCATAAGGAAGCTTTGTGTGTATGCTTGAATGCTTTCCCCCTCCATGGAAAAGAATCGCCGCAAGAAAAGAAACTAGCAAGGCAGAAAGAAATATTCTAGTCCAGCTGTGCTATGCAAATTTTCTACTAGCGGGGTGATTTTTATGTAGGAGGTGATTTGAAAATGTGATCTCCCACTTGCACTCTCCACTCCACCACCTTGGAGTCCATTCCCTTGCACATGTAGATCAAGCCTCAGTTATGACAACAGGACTGTGAACTGCTTTCCAAGAAGTCTGTAGGTAGTCAGGCCAATGGTAAAGCACTGACTATGATACTGGATGTAGTATTTTGGCACAGTCCTAAAACCATCTGCATTTAAGGGACTCTTAATGCAGAGCACAATGACAGAAATAACACAATGCTCTACCATTGATGGAACGTACCATCAGAATTCCCTCCCTAACCTGGCGAGCACGATCCTTCAGCTGGCATTCCAGCTCAGCAACCTCTCGCCGAACAGCTTGGCGCAAGGCCTGGAGTTGTCTTCTCTCCTCTCTGTGGAAGATGGCCAAGTGAAAAGAAACAGAAAACACTCCGTGAAACCCTTGACCTCCAATATCAACCAGCTGTATTACAAAGGAAGAAAAAGCCATTGAGTCAATGATGAAGTGATGTCAAATGCAGTTTGTATGGTTGCAATTGGCTGAACCATGCTGGACTCCTGGCCACAGCATTTCACTGCAAGTGAATAATCACATGGACAGCTTCATGTGTGAATATGGTCTGGTTTAAGTACAAAGATGCCGTGACTTGGATGACCCAGACTAGCCCGATCTTGTCAGATCTTGAAAGCTAAGCAAGGTCAGCCCTGGTCAGTACTTGGATGGGAGACTACCAAGGAAGTCCAGGGTTACTATGCAGAGGCAGGTCACCTCTTGCCTTGTAAACGTATGACCAGGTCGTCAGGCAGAGTCTGGATGGCACTTTCCACCACCAAGTGCCAGGACATGGATGCATGTGCTTATGAGCAGAACTGCTGAACTTTTACAGCTGCAATTATACTGGGCCTTCATCTTCAAGAGATGTGTCTGAAGAAGAAGGTTACCTATTTTCTGCTGGAATAATTTAATAGTAATAAATTCAGTTGTGGGTTGTATTCTACCATTCTGATCTGCCAAGTGCAGAACTTCCCTCTGGCTTAAAGAACATTCCTGCAAAAGATGGGGCTTTTTGTTAGAAGAAGTCTCTTTGTACTAGTGCAAGGGTGGCCAAACTTGCTCAACGTAAGAGCCACATAGAATAAACGTCAGACGTTTGAGAGCCGCAAGACATGAACAAATACTACACACGTTTTTACTGGGAGATTTGCAAATTTGCTTTCTATTAACATTAAACGAGGCTGCCAAAAATAATAACAAAAGCGGTAAAAAGCAGATACCGAGAATGGTATTTACTTGTCCAGTGATATTTGTCTGCTAATGATATTGAGCTTCCCCAGGCCGCCCTGCCAGGAGCTGCACAAGATGTGTGAAAGAGCCGCATACGGCTCCAGAGGAAGTCTCTACATTTAGCTGATCAGAGCGGTAAAAAGCAATCCAGCATTCTCTTGGATTTGCATTTTTTTAAAAAAATACATTTTATGTCATACCATTGCACGAATCTTTTGCCAGGGCACAGATTAACAACTGGGTTTTCCCTTTCCCCAAGTGATAAGGTAGGTGACTACAAAACCATAACTGTAAGAGCAGCAAATCTGTCATTAAATCAGTTGGGAGAAGGGATGGATTAAGGGATAATTGCCCAATTGTCTCAAGAGCTACCACACTGGCTAGAACTGTATACAATTTATATCATTGTCATAACTGCTTTAGTGGTGAGCATTCTATTTTGAAGGACAGAAGTTTTGTATATGGGTTTGAAGGCGACATCGAAGTCTTTCCATACACGGCAAAACACATTGTGTATGTGCATTTTGTACAGGAAACATCTGGATGTTACAAAGGCTGTGCTGTGATAAACAACGTCATCTGCACACCCTTACCGTCCTTCATCTGATATGGCGCTGGAAAAGAGGATCTCTTGCTCTGTCAGGTGCTGCTCAATCTCATCCAGCCGTTCGCGAAACTTTTGGCACGAATTTTTCATAGCTTCGATTTCATGAACTGTGCACTAAACGTAAGATTATGAAGAGGCAATGGTTTGTTATGGTTTTGCACCTGCTAAAAGTAGGCAGACTGGTCTGTTACAGAGAGCTTGACTAAGAGAAGTTCATTTCCAGGAATTTCTACACCTTTGGGAAGAATCAATTTGGAGACCTCCAGATGCTAATGAAAGCCTCACATAAAACCCTGTAAGATTTCCATCTGTTGAACTACAGCCATCTCTTTCTTGGCATTCCCATTTCTCCCTCTTTTACTGAGAAGCTGACAGAGAACTGTCTTTCACAATGGCAATTTCCACTTCTCTCTGTGTGATATACACTGTGAGGTCCAGACACGTAAGCACATCTCTGAGCCAAGGGCACATGTATGTTTATCCTTTCTTTTTAAAAAGGTCAAACTAGCTGAGATCTGTGACTGGATCAACATCCCCCCCCCCCAAGGCAGCTACAGTTAGCAAATTTTATTGGGTTGCAGTGTGAGGGGTGGGGGAGTGGCTTAAATAGGGTGGCCAAGCCCCCAGCTGAGGTGCAAAACTCCCCACCCTCAGCGCCTGCTGCCTGCTGCCACTCCAAAAAACAAAAAACCCTCACTGGCATGCCAAGTGTGATGATGACACTTCCATGGAAAACCTCTAGGAATCGCCAGAGACTCTAGTTTTTAAAAAACATAGAGTTTCTGGATCATCACTTCTGGGTTTTCTCCAGAACTGATGTCATCGTGCTGGCACTACTGCCACTAGGGCTGCCAAGCCGCGGCGGGGGATCCGCATGTCTTCACAGGATCCCTGCCGCGGGGGACAGCGATATGTGTTGCACCACCATCGCCAGGATGTGACACTACGCGTCGCTCTGGCAACGGGGCTGTTTGGAGTCCTGTTGCCAGAGCGACGCGTAGCCTCACATCCTGGCGACGGCGATGCAACGCGTATTGCTGTCCCCTGCAGCAGGGATCCTGTGTAGACGTGCGGATCCCCCGCCGCGGCTTGGCAGCCCTAACTGCCACCCACCATGGCTCCACCCCAACCCTCCCGCCAGTTCAGGCTTAACCCTTTCCCTTTCATACACTGCTTTCCTGATCCAAATGTGCCCTTCCCCCAATTGCTGACTGCTAAATTTGTCATGCCTTAATTAGTAACTTCTCCTGCCAACCTAGCAGTTCAAAAGCAAGAAACTGCAAGTAGATAAATAGGTACCACTTCAGTGGGAAGGTAACAGCGTTCCGTGCGCCCTGGTGTTTAGTCATGCCGGCCACATGACCACGGAAATGTCTTCGGACAACTCTGGCTCTTCGGCTTTGAAACGGAGATGAGCACCGCAACCCTTTCGAGCTTTCGAGCAAGGGAACCTCTACCTTTACTTTAATTAGTGACTTGGAGGGGGGGAAAGGAGAAAACCGTATGATTTCATCTGTTTTTGGCTCAAAGTACAGTTCTTGGCAAAAAGCTGTGTTGCAAAGACATTAGAATACCTTTTAGGCTTACTGGGTGAAAGAAAAGTATCTCATAGCCAATGCTCCCTCTAAGCTGTGGAGTAGGGTTGCCAAGTCCATCTTCCACCCCCAGCGGGGGACTTTGGGGGCGTTCCTGGAGGGGGTGGGGCATCCCCAACATGATGACGTCACGTTGGGGATGTCTGCTGCCCCCCCACCTGCCCGTGCGCCGGATCTCCAGAAACGGCAGTTTCCTGCACTTAAAGTAGCCGGCAGCCGCCATTTCCCCTTTAAGAGCAGCTGCGTTTCCCTTTTAAGAACGAAGCTGGCATTTCCCTGCAAGCTTGCGGAGTTTGCGCTTGGGATGAAACACGGGCTGCACACACTTAAAGGGAGAGAGATGGGTGGCTGTGGGTGTTGGGGGTGGGGCTTCCCCCGCCGGCCATCTGGCCGGCGGCAGGTAACCCCCCCAAAACGGGGGACCCCCGGCAAACCGGGGGGGTTGGCAACCCTACTGTGGAGTCTTGTGAGCAAAAACTCTACTTTGTGAGCTACTGGTATTAAAGTTGTGAGCAAGCGATTTGGCTACTGCATAAATTAGTTTGCTCTGGAGCCATCCTTCCTGAGCGAAGACAAAAATCTGTGAGCCAGAGGCTAAAAAACCTGTGAGCTAGCTCACACTAACTCAGCTTAGAGGGAACACTGTCATAGCTATGTATCAGTCAGGATAAGATGAAAGCATAAAGTGCGGTCATATGTATTTGAAAGGGCTTCTGGGCCAGTTGTGAGTCATTTATGAAACACTGCCATCTTGTGGACATCTGTCATTAACTGACTACTCCACAAAAATCTTGCAGTGAAGACATCACTAGCATTGTTAGTGACCCCCCCAAAAAAACACGTTGTTTACATGTGAAACACTAAGGGCCAGGCCTCTGCAACTACTATCTGGGTTGCCAGCAGAAAAAGAAAGAAAACTCAGTCGGGTGCAGACCAAATGCATAGGCTCTCTTAGAAGCATGATCACATTGTAGTCTGAAGCGTGGAGGGCATGGAACATGCCATGCACATTGGCTTTATTTTCAGAACTAGGAATTATATAAATCAAAAGTTGGCAACTCTACCTATGAAAAGAAAGGATGTGGCAATTTCCCTCCATATTTCAGACCACAAAAGAGGCTGGGTGTGTGTGTGTGAAACTGGATCAATGATGGAGGCTAACGGAATCAGGCAGGTCAGGCTTTGAGGTATCCTTTTTTGTGTCTTTTTCTTCTCATATGATGTTGGTGTGAGCCTTTCGTTCCCCTCTTTTTCAAGGCTGGTTTTCCTAACGTGTTTGTTTCTTTTATGCCATTTATATGTAACCGACAACAAAAGTAGCATTAAAAAACACAACAAAACTAACAAAAAAAATGCAAGGAAGCAAACGAAAAGAATGAAAATAAAGACTCGCACAAAGGAAACACAAAAAGGGATTTCCAAGTGAAACACCATGGTTCCAAAATTTGGTAGCATCCCTAGTAGAACTAAGACAGAATCTGGGCAGGCCAGTGTAGAAGGGTGAGTCTTCTGTACCTCCTGATATTGTGCTCCTGTGGGTCTGTGGACCATCCCACCCCCCAAAAAAATAATAATTGTAGGGGGCAAACTGGGAGTCTGCTGCAGAAGGGAGAAATCCGCAAAACTGTCCTTCCCTCCTCCGCAGACACAAATGCCGTTCCGCCCAAGGCACTGCTGTTGTGCTGATGGAATTGCTCTTTAGGATCCAAACCATTGTTCCTCAAGACAGATACTCTGCCTGGGAGACTACTGGGAAATGGTGGGGCCATAGATAAGCAAATAACTGAAGAGATACTCACAGAAGAAATGTTTCTCGTTGCTGTGTCCTGCAACAGCTTCAGTGTTTTCAGGAGCTGTAGCTCTAGGGTGGCACAAGACGAGCAGCACGTCACAGGAGGCGTGCACAAAGGCGCTAGAGGGAAAGATCGCAGGGAACAGCAGTGTCGAGAGCTCAAAGGACAGCAGTGACCTCTGTGCTGGGCACACCAGGCATGGCAATGTTCGTAGCAGCAAGACCGGTATTCCCCATGCAGCCCGGTGTCTAGAGAGGCAGACTTGACAAGATGGCTGTGCCTGTGGAGTGAAGGGAGGAAAGGAAACAGAGGGAACACTTTTTGCTTGGCGTGACTCCTCTCAGTTTGGACTGACACTTCCTTCACTTCCTTATCTTCTTCCTTTAAAGCACCCAATACCGAAGGAGTTAGGGGCTCGTCCTCAGAATGCTGGGAGGCCTTGGATGTGAAATCCAGAGACCGGCCTTTTACAGCTGTGTCGTCCAAGTGGATGCTCTGCATACTCGACAGGAGCATAGAAGGCATCTGGACGGTTACAGATCTGAAAGGACCACGGTTTGCTTCAAAGCTGGGGACACTCTCGTCCTTGCCCAGCTTGGTGCTCGCTGATAATCCATCTTCATGGCAGTAAGAAGAAAGGCTGGAATCCTGAAGAGGGCTTCTTGAAATAGCACTGATCTCACGTTGTGCAGCTGGGTCCCCCCGCTCAGTTTCTGATGCCAGAGCTATATCTGAAGGTCTGCATGCTCTACCAAAACCAACAGACGGTCTGATAGAATCCTGACAATGGTTTGTGACACCAATGTCTGTGGGGGGAACAGGGAAATCCAACTCACTATCCCACCGCTTTCCTTCTACACTTTCTCCAATACCTTCCTCTTCATTTTCTCTACACAATCCCCCAGTTTCCTCTTCACTCAAAAGTCCCTCACTTTCCTTCCTGTCCACACATACCCAGTCATTGCTGAGTATCGTGGGGCTTGTACACCCTATCTCAGTGGCAGTGGAGCCTGGATTTTCATGCATTTCACAGGAGTATGAAAGCCAGTTCCCTTCTGGAGAGCTGGCGTCATCCTTATCCAGGCTGTTAATACGATGGCAAGCAATGCGGTCTTCTACGCAACTGTCCTCTTCTTTCGCCGATTGTCCTTTTTGATCTTGCATCTCCTTCTCATGAGTCTCGTGTTCTGTTTCACTGGCTACACCTTCATACTGACCACTGGAGTTCTCCATTAGGTCATCCTCTTCATTTATGGAATAGAAGACTTCCTCTCCTGGGAAAGTCTGTTCTCTGCTTAGAGTGGGCAGTAGTAGGACGTTGCCACCATCGGTGGTGGAGGTGACAGCACCAGATGTCTCTGCATGGGGATGAGAATCCTGGCTACATTGTGCCAACTCCTTCCTGTGTCTCAGGTATGCTTGATTATCCTGGACACTGCAGCTAAGTCTCAGATTCCCAGAAAGAGATAAGGCCTGGAAATAAAATAAGGTTCCTTTAGTATGATTGTGTTTCCAACACAGTCACAGTCGTTTGCCCTGCAATACTAAGCAGAGTTCTAAGACCATTCAGTGGACTAAGGCGGGGGTGACGCTGCTTAGGACGGCACTGTTAATTGGACAGTTTTGGGGTCTTTTTAAAAAATTCTATTTATTTCTTTGTTTTATGTCTCACACTTTCCCCAGAATAATCCCTACTTACCTGCAGAGGTAAGGGCTCTGATGGATCTTCCAGAAATCCACTGCTGTCAGACTGACAACTGTTTGTTCTTGTTACAATCACATCTATAGTCAGAAAAAATAATGGTGAGGAATACTACGAAAGCTAGGGTTGCCAAGTCAGAAGCGGCGCTGGAGCGGGGGACTCCAGCGCTGCTTCAAGAGTGCGCGCATGCGCACGAAGCGTGCACGTGCCGCAACCCCGTCACCCGGAAGTGACGCGACCATGCTGGGCACGCTGGAGGCGGGGCCACGGCCATCTGAGGGAAAACCATAGAGTTTTCCCTTGGATGACTGTGGCCCCACGCCCAGCATTCCCGGCGTGCCCGCGTCACTTCCGGGTGACATGCACGTCGCGTGCTTTGGGGGGGGGTCCCCCCCGGGGCCTGATCTGCCGGCGGGGGGGAACGGGCCTTTGGGCCGGGGGTTTCCCCGCCCCCCAGGAAGACTTGACAAGCCTAAGGTAAGCGGATTAAGCCTTGGTGGTTTCAGCCCAAAGAAAGAGGCTATTTCTATGTGTGTTAAATGTCATTAAGTTGCTTCCAACCTATGGCGACACAATGAATTAATGCCTTCCAAAATGTTCTGTCATTAACAGCTTTGCTTGGGTCTTGCAAACTGAGCACCATGGCTTCCTTGATTGAGTCAATCCATCTCATGTTGGTTCCTCCTCTTTCCTGCTGCCTTCAACTTTCCCTAGCATTATTGTCCCTCCCCTCCCCCAGTGATTCTTGTCTTCTCATAATGTGACCAAAGTACAACTAGTTCTACACATATCACTTCAATAGTCCTAAATTATGTTAGCAGAGAAGCTGATAAATGCATATCTGATGTATGTATCTCTAGGTCCATGGGTCTCAAACCTTTTGAAGTAGGACTTTCTTCTTACTTTCTTCTTACTTTTTCAGAACCTACTTGCCAAGTACCTCCATACTACAAAGTAATGCCCACTAACTCTGTAGGAGTTTATATGGCTGCCAACTGTTTAAGATCTAGGCTGAATTTTTGTTTCCCTCCTGTTGCAGGTACTTAAAGCCTGGGTTTGTCCAAAGGCATGAGCCTTTTGGTGCAAGCTGAAGGGAAACAGCCCAAGGGCTTGTAGCCTGTGACCTCGAATTATGCCAGCGGATCCCAGACCAGAATGTTTACTGTACCTATTGTTTCTTTTCCATTGGCTTGTTTACATTGTGTTTTATAAATGGTTTGTTTAATTGGAACGGGATTATTTGTAAATTGCTTTGGATCCCCATTACAAAGAAAAGTGGATTATATATAACTAGGAATAAGACCTATTGTGGAAATAAATACAACGAGCTCTAGAAAGAGGCTCTGGGTGCGTGCCCTGGCCTTCGGCACTCAGCATCATTTTGCTGTGGTGACCTCAGCAGGGTACAATGACACAGATCTTACCGTTTTCTCCAGGGAAACTGATCTCTGCCATCTGAAGAGCAGTTGTGATTCTGAGTGATCACCAGCCCTCCCCTGGAGATTGGCAACAATGGTTCCCCAGGAAGAAATAGCTGGTTTGGAGGGTAGAGTCTATGGCTTTGTACCTGTCTGAGGTGCCAACCCTCCTCAAACTCCACTTTCTCCAGGCACCACTCCTCAAATCTCCAGGAATTTCCCAACCTGGAGGTGGCAACTCTATTTCCTTCCCAGCCAACTAGCAACATACCATTATCTGCCCCTCTGACTTCAGGTTTCCATCTCTTCCTCCCTCCCTGTAGCCTCTACCTACACTCTTTCTCCACAGTGGGGACCCAAGCAGGAGGGAAGCGATCTCAGCAGGATATAATGACACAGAGTCCACCCTGCAAAGCAGCCATTTTTTCCAGGGGAGTTGATCTCTGCCATGTAGAGAGCAGTTTAAATTCTAAGTGATCGCCAGCCCTCACCTAGAAATTGACAGCAATGGTTTCCCAGGAGGAAAAGTACAGTCTTTCTCCACAGTGGAGACCAAAGCAGCTTACATCATTCTCCTCTCCTCCTTTTGATCTGCACAACAACCCTGTGAGGTAGGTTAGGCTGAAAGTCTGTGACTGGTCCGAAATCACCCACTCAACTTCCACAGCAAGAACCTGGGTCTGGCAGACCGTTCTCTGAAGTGCTAACTGCTACACCTAGGGTAGCCAACCTCCAAGTGGAGCCTAAAGATTGCCAGGTATCACAATTGAACTCCAGACAACAGATCTCTCCCCCCTGGAGAACATAACTGCTTTGGAGGGTGGGCTCTATGGCATTCTATTCAGCTGAGGCCTCTACCCTCCCCAAACTCTGGCTTCCGTAGACTCCACCACAGAATATCCAGGAATTTCCCAACCTTGAGCTGGCAATCCTATTCAGGACTGGCCCCAATGAGTTCTCCACAAAGGCCTGAAAAGCACCTCCTGCTTTTGCCTTTTTACTGACAGAACCAAGCGTGGTTGCCTAGCAACAGCCATTGAGGGAAACGTTAGTCCCACAGGAGCGAAGCAGGTGAAATGTCTTAATCAGGAGAGTCAGCCATTTGGCAGTTTATTCTGTGGGAGAAGAGTGTCTTGGCTGGCAGTGAGTGGGGGAGAGGAGCGGACCCAGCACCCAGTCAATGGCACACAAGTAATTTATTACAGAGCAACAGGCTGTATTGTACAGCAAAGCCCACATCTGCCATTTAGCAGCCTTTTCCAGCTGACCCGGGTTCTCATTCTCTTCATTCCAGGCCTCACAACCCACCTGCAAGACAGTTGCAATTTGCAATTCATTTTGGGACCCTGACCCGAAGTTTAAGAACCAGTGCTTTTGGGGGCAGCCAAATACGAGATGCAGAAATCTTTGTCCAAAAGCTGTCCCAGATGCTAAAAAGGGACTGAGGAGAAGACCTGAGAAAATGCAGACATAGGAATAATACATCAAGAGGGTTTTTAAAAATAATAATAATAATCTATTTTTACATTTATATTTACATTTACAAAAATATACCCCAAACCCAAGTAATTAAGACAGGCTTTCACAAAATACGTTATGCTATAAAACAATCTATTAGAAAACTAAAATACTGCTGAGTAGTAAAAATGCCCCTCTGACTTATACCCCATTTTCTGTCCCAATGGGGACCCACAGCACCTTACAATAGTATGTGCATTTGATATTTTGTAGGTTTGTTTTTTTCCCTTTTTGGACAGAAAATAGTTTTGGGGAGGAGGCAGCCATAGAAAAGCACTGTGAGAACAGAAAAACCAGGTCATTCCCCATCTAGAAAGCTCACCTGCCTTTCCTCTTGAAAAACACTGGGTCAGGTAGCCTCAGGCTGCAATCACACACACTAAATAATCAATGAATCGCCCCTCCGCACCAAGGGCTCCCTATGGAGTTGGCAATGATGCGCATACTGTGAAGGGGGGGGAACAACGGCACAGAGTTGGGATGGCCTGATCAGACCATCCCGATGCCATGAGAGTGCGCTGGAGCGATCAGACACAGGAAAGTCCGTCTGTGGCCCATCGCAACCTGTTTACTACTGGATTTCCCCCGGTGTCTTTCAACTCTGGTTCTGCAGTGGAGCAGAACAGGTTGCCAGTGGCTGTGGGGCACTTCCCAGATGTTGTTGTCTGATCGCGCCCTAACACAGCATTCGCACCTATGTCGGGTCTAATTGTGTGTATGATGGAGAAGTTAAATGGTGGCAGTAGATGTGGGGGGGGGGTAGGGAAGAGAGCTGCAGGAAAGCAGTATGAAAGGTCAGAATCCTTTTTACACACTTGAGGACAGGTGCAAATGGTTCAAAAACAAATGAAATTTGTTGAACAGTAGACATTGCTGATCACAGCTTGTGGATGGCTTGCAAACCGAACCATCCAGATGATCAACTAGAGCCAGCGTGGTGTAGTCTTGAGAGTGTCAAACTAGGATCTGGGAGACTTGGGTTTGAATCCTCACTCTGCCATGGAAGCTCACTGGCAGTGTTCCCTCTAAGCTGAGTTAGTGTGAGCTAGCTCACAGTTTTTTAGCCTCCGGCTCACACATTTTTGTCTTATCTCATGAAGGAGGGCTCCAGAGTAACCTAATTGATGCAGCAGCCCAGTTGCTCACTCACAACTTTGATGCCAGTCGCTCACAAAGTGGAATTTTTGCTCACAAGACTCCACGGCTTAGAGGGAACATTGCTCACTGGACAACGCTGGGCTGGTCACTCCTCCTCAATCTAACGTACCTCACAGGAGTGTTGTGAAGATAAGATGGAGAGAGCAATGTTCGCCGCTTTGGGACCCCATTGGGAAGAAAGGCAGGGTACAAATTAAGCAAATAATAAAATAAATCTAAAGATCAATGAGAAAATGTAATCCTCTTTCCTGCGTTTGCCCCTGATTCCTTAGGTCGTAACTCCCTGCAATAACACTCTGCATAGGACACTCCGCAAACTACTCTATGATCTGGAGGACGTCAGAGCACGAGACATGCGGATCCACAGTCGCTTCAAAAAACAGAAATGACCAAACATGGAAACAAGACATCACGTGTTATCACAAACACACATCCCTAACACATACAGATACCCAGAGATATTCACGGCAATAATGTTTTATGTTGTTTGACCCTCGGTCACCCAAAGGACAATGTGGACAGTGACATTTTGTGATGAGCTATCTCTGCCACTGTGACCAAGACATTTGTAAGTTATCTCAAAACATCCCCATCATTCAATCACTCTCTGCACCCACACTGTGTTCCCAGAGACCCCGGAGGAAGGAGGAGGTGGGATGGGGTCTTATAACATGATAGGGGAGTCACACAGTACGTACAGTTAAGGATAGGATAGAGACTGCTCACCGCCAGGAGGCTATTTTCAGTGGCATTTCCATGGTGACGGTAATGTATGCTCCCAGCCCGGGCTCCCCACAAAGAAGAGCATTGTTTTGGCTCTCCGTGCAGCTGTTCAACATCCACTTTGTTCTGCGCTCTCACTGTACGCCATTCCCACCGGGGTCTCTGCCTTGCTCTCGCTTAGCATTCCCGTTCCCAGCTGCATCATTTAATGCCGGTTTCTCTGAGCGTTCATTACTTCCCTGAGCAATCTGGGGTTTATTTAT